CGGGCACAAAGAAGTGAACACTTTATTGCTTGGACTGTACTTAACTCATTGTTTTCCAGTAAACATCACAAAGTTATGGGACTATATTTCAGGTGACTCATTAATTCCTTGCAATGACTCGTCTTTCTAGGTGTTAACCAGGTACCTTTGTCAATCAGAAAACCTCTGGGATAGGAAACCTTTCTCACCAGGGTCACTTGATGAGAAACTGCGACCCAAAGTGAGAAGCAGCAGGCTGCATCACGAGCTGGCAGCTAGGACTTAAAATCAACACCAAGCTTTTGCTCCCCGTTCTCATACAAGTACCCCAATATCTTTGATCTCAGGTCCCAGTTCACATGAAGAAAGCAAAGAGAAGTGCAATGCTCCACATGCTTCCCAGTGACTCTGCATAAGAGTTGGCAACTGTCCATGACCCAGAAAGGTTTATTTTGTCGGGTAATCCAAGGCAAGAATTTCTCTCCCATCTAGAGCACAGTGGATATTTATTCAGGAAAAATAATCCTCAATCCTCTTCCCTAATTGTCTTTGCAATTATTATCTTCACAGGGATAACTGAAAGGAATCACACATGTCCAAGAATCAAATCCGTTTGTTTCCACCTCACAGTGGAGGGGAGGATGTTTAGGATTTGTGGGGAGTGGTTTTCAGTTCAGGTTTTCTCTGTTCTGCCCAGCTGAGAATTCAGATTCATGAATTCTGCACAGAACTTTACTGCAACTGGGGAGCAGTTCGGAGTCTGAGCAGGACGAAGTAATAAAAAATAGGCATTCAAAATGTTTATCAACTTTAGCTGAAGGTTGCTGCCCATGCCAAGGCACAGATTTCCTACCATACTAAACATTGGTTTTGATAAGAAAATTGTTCTCGCTCCAGTTCTAGCCTCACAAGACAGAATTACTGCTTGGCAGCTGAGATCAAAGAAAGGCCAAAGCCTTGCCAGTTAAAAGTAATATTTTTCAGTTTTAATGAAAAAATATTATTTGTTCTATTTTTCTCCATCCTCCTTGGAATCAAATGTTATTTTACCGCAAAGCTCTGGCTGCAGTTATGCATCACATGGGAGCCCAATGGTAGAGAACAGCACTTACAGCATTAAAAATACATTCTCTGTGTAACAAACCAAAAAAGCATGCCTCTTGGCAGCATTGGTGGCCTAATTTTGGCTGCAAAATGAATAAAATCAAGGCTTCCACTGAAATTCTAGCAGCGACTCCTGCTGTAAATCCTGAGCTGCAGACAGGGAGATAACATAGAGAAGCAATCTGGGCAGCCCCTGGGGAGCCAGAGCTGTGGGTGTCTCCTCCATCACCCATTCAGAAGGCACCGTGCTCAGGCTGCACTTGTTGAGCACTCCAAGGGCTCCACATCCAGCTGCAGTGAGTCTGTGGGATTGGATTAGTGATGCTTGTCTCTTGAAATCTCCATGTTGTAATACAGCAAAACCACACCAGCCAGACCCAGGCTGTCTCTGCTCAGCAAAAAAGTGCTTGCTTGCCCAGGAAGTCCCGTTAATGGCAGCAGCAATGATCACAGCAGTGATTTCCTGCCAGTGATGCCCCTTGAGCTCCTCTGATGGGAGCCACCATGGGACCACAGAGCAGTTGCTTTGGTAGCGCTCACACCAACAGTCATCACCTGCTGGCTGTGTGGGTGGGAATGTCTCCATCTACTCTAGATGGAACATTCAGGATTGGCTGACCCTGCCCCCAGAAACTGCTCACTGAGGGATTGTTAGAGGTGATTCTTTGGTTTTTGGCAGGAGAGGCTGAACAAACGAAGCAGAAGCCATTTGGGATGACAGCATGGGGCACAACATGACAGCTGTAATGAAGACAAATCAGGGAGCATTGCAACGATGCTCCTGTAGCAAACCTAACAGCAATGTCCCCCAAACCTACACACCCAGGACTGTTGTAACAGGAGCGATAGGTCCTTCAAGATTGACAAATGATAATGACATGAAAGCAGCCCTAAAACCTCCTTGTATATGTTCCTCCCATCTCAGCTTCCCACAAGACAGACGTGACAGACTGGAACCAGATGGAATTCAAGTATGAAATGGCATTACACCCTGCACTAGCAGTAATAAACGATAACCATGCCCTCCCTGACACCCCAAGTAAAAGACAATACATTCATCACAGGGTTCTGGTTTGAATAACAAACATAGAAATCATAACATTTAAGCATGCCTTAGTAGGTGAGTAGGATTGTGCACCACAAGGACCATTAATTTGCTTTTTTTTCTTGTACCACTTTTCCACACACTATACACACAAACGACAACCCATGCTCAGGCTGTGCATCATTGCAGACCGTAGCTCACATCTGCCTGAGAGATAACTTCAAGAGTGAGAAATTACTCTGCAGCATTAAATATCATTCTTTTATTTTCCTTAATATGAAAATAAAATGGGCATTTTGATTAACGTAACTGTTGAAACAATTACAGTCTGTTTAGCGCACTTGAGTCACGAGTACAACTGAACATCTATTTGCTGCTATCAAAGTAGGCAACGTTACAAGATGATGCTGAATTTCCCAGTTCCATCAGTTGAGTGAGGAGGGAGAAAAACACAATACACTCAAAATAAGGCAGTCCTTCACAATAAATGAGACATGCAGCTCAAGGAAGGGAAATCCTCACTTCAGAGGCCAGAAACAGCTTCTCAGAAAGGAAAGACCTCTTTCCCAACATTATCCTCCTCAGCTCAGTGTCTCCAGGCTTGTTCACGGCATTCCTGGAGCACCTGGGACACACATTAACAAGCAAGTAGGTGATTATTAACTTCTTCCATCCAGAAACAGAAAAATGCCTTTAATCATGAGGAAGCAATGCAGGAATAAAGGTTATATGGGGTGTTTGCAGGTGCACTGGAAAGGCACACAGCAAGGCTTGCCCTGCAGTGGGAAATGCTGCTTGGAGGGGCAAGGTGGGAAGAAAAGTGCTTGACGCTCATGGGGTAGACAAGGAGGCCATCGTAGTGGGAGCAGTGACATCCTGATGTCCGAGCACCTCACTGGTTCTCAGTGGCTCTGGCTCTGCCCCTCCGTGAACTGCAACACACGACAAGAAACACATTCCCTGGGAAGTGTTTCACTAGAGGGGCTGTTATCTCAAAGAAGACATTACAGCAAATGAACTTCTGCTGCTCTCCCCCTCTGGAAAAGCAGACAGGCTGCTGCTGCCTGCTAGCACAGAACAGTAAGCACTCCTCACAGGGTTACCACAGCCAAACCTCATCAGTTAACTCTCTGTTATCAGCTCTGCCAGAGCTTGGCGTGGGTCTGGCGTGTCTCCAGCCCCTGGGGTGGACCCTGACATTTTTGTGACCAGTAGTTTCAGCAGAACACTGGTTTTGAGCAGCTGGGGAGCAGGAGTAGAGCAGTTAATATAGCTTCTGAGCAATTAATTCAGCATATAAATAGAGCAGCAGTTAGCAGGTACATGCTGTTGTCCCTTCTAGTCTGCCCCGACACTGGTCTCCAGTCTCTGCAACAGGTAAGAGAGGCATTTCTGGGTGCAGGCTGTGGGGAGGGGACTCTTGGCTGTGCAGGGGGTAGGATATTAATTTGGAGTTTTTCTCATTATTATTGGGTCAATAAAGCTGCCAGGGTGACAGAACAGCTCTGGCAGCAATGGGAGGAAAGGTAAAGAGGAGAGGTAGAGAAACCCATGTTGGGAGGCTGGAAAATTAAAAGGTAAATGGGGTATGTCAGTAAATGAGGATCAAGGCAAATTCGTGGTTTTCTAAAGTGTATGCAAGGGAAAGGAGTCAGAAGCAAAAAATAGTTTAAATAGAATGAGAGGTAAAGCAATAAATTCAATTCATCAAAGTGTCTCCCCTGCCCTGCCTTTAGCAGGATGCTGCAGGATGCCTATCACACCAACCGAAGCACCCAGCAGCAACAGCTGGTAGCACTCTGACCTCTGCAGAGCCCCTCTGAAGCTCAGGTTCATCTGCAAGGAGGGAGGTCCTGGGATGACTCCTAAGATGGTCATACCTAGAGAAACTGTTTCAGAATACACATCGTCCCCATATAAACGAGTACAAAACCAGCATCTTGCTTTACATGATCTCCTTAAATCATATTTTGTATTTTTGCTATTATATCAGGCTGCTGGGAGGTTTGAGAATAAAAACTCTTGAAGGCGTTATCTATTTGACTAAGCAGCCACAGAACTGCTTTGGCCTGTGTACTTTTTAAGAAGCAAAATAGTTCCTCAAAGGTACAAAAATAATATAATCAGGCATCAGCACCATGCAAGGAAATTTTACCCAAGGAGCTAAAAAAGCCTGCAGTCAGACACTACTCCCTGCCTGCCATCAGACCTGCTGAATTCACTGGCCAAGGGAAGTTAGCACTGAAGGAGGGGAGCTGGACATCACCACAGCTCATGCACCACTTCAGATCCCAGCTGCTGAAAGGGTCACGCTGGAAATGCTTGAGGCAGAAGTGACCCCATTTACTTCTTCATTGCAAAATGAATCTGCTGAGAGAGGCAAAAAAAAAGAGGGCTGCCATGAAGAGAGGAAGGCTGCTGTCCCTCAGCTGCACCCACCATCTCCTCACTTCTGAAGTGATTCATTTTGTTCCAAAAACCAGACACCAGCAGTGGGGCTGTATCAGGCTTTGAAAAGCACTTCACAGATTTGGGGGTGGGAGGGGAAGCAACAATAAAAAGTTGTTATAAACCAAGTTAACCACTCTGTTACACCAAGGCAAAAAAACCACTGAACTAAAAGTCACCAGTAGGTCGAGCTTTAACTGGCTTTAACTAGTCACATTGAAGCAGCATGGTTGTTTCCAAACTGCTTTCAAATCCTAGTTTAGAGCAAGGGGTCAGAGGTCTCTAAGTAGAAAGGGCTTTCTCTTGCTTCTGATAAAAATTCCCATCTGCCTCACGGGTGTGATCCCAAATAAGGGCAAATGGAAAAAGAAGAACCATCATTGCCTTTAACACGATCAATACAACTGTCAAAACCCAGCATGTATTTAATAAATGCAATGTAGAGAGGTTTATTTGACCTTCTGTTCACAAAATAATTTTATTATATGTATGAAAGCAGCATACAGGCAATAAAATTATGAAAACATTCACAATACATAAATACACAGACCTGATGCAGGATGTATATAGTTCATTAGACTTTATGGGTTTTTTTCCTCTCAGTTCTCTTTTCCTGACAACACTTTTTTTTATATATATGTTATGAAAAAGTTGCTCCAAAGGGTATTTTCTCCCATTCAGAAAACAAATAGCTTTCTTTGAATGCTGCTGAATATTAATACCCAATGTTCCTGTTGCTAATGTTCACTGATTGCTTTTGGCATTGCAAAGGGAAAGCAGGAAGGACAATGGAAAAGTAGCAGGTTTTCTGAATTAAACATTGGTAACTTTTTTGGAGCTCACAGGAAGTGTTTGAGTTGGGGGCTGCAGTTCCATCCATATTTAGAAATGTCTTAATCCAAAATGGTAATGAGGCACTAATCCTTATTGAATGGACTATTGACATGGCAATTACTAAAATGTAATGTCCTCCTAGTATCCAAAGTAAAGCACTAGGTACCTCACTTTTTAATTCTGATACAGTAGCAGACAGACAGCATGATCCCGGTGGTACTGCAGAAATACAGATGATAATGAGGTTTGGGCATCTTTACTACCATTATAACCAATTGTGTTTGTTCAGAAAAGATATCCAAGACTTGAAATAAGAAAAGTCTGAGAAAGCTGTTTATCTTACATAAATACAAAACATTATATACTAAGAATTGTTATCTAAGAAGCTTTTCTTCTCAAATTGAATTCTTCTTAAGGTTGTAGTCATATTTAAGGTATTTACAGCTCCACAAACTCGACATTCTAGCAAAGTCTTTGTAACATGAAACTTTTGAAAAATAAATAGCAGCAATTTTTTTTTCTTTTTATTTCTATAAGGGAAGAGAATTCACAACTCAGCCAATGCTGGTCCTATCTTTTGAAAGAAATCCCACTTAAAATTAAAAAGAAAAGCCCACAAGCAAATGAACTCAACACAGCATCAGTTTTGTTCATTCCTTCATTTCTCAGTGAGCTTCTTAACGTTCCTTCATTAACCCTCATTGGCCCTCCAGACTATCAAAGCTTGTAATAAAGTGCTAACTGGTTGACTGGTCAAAATGCAGTTATGACACTCCAAAAATATCCCGTTATTTAGACATTTTAAATAACATAAATAAAGTTAGATTTGTTATAACATATGAAAAATATCAATTTAAAACAATAAATAAATAAAACCAGTATCAACATATGACCTCCCAAAGCTTTAAAAATAACCATTCTCGTTATAAGGCTCAATTATATTTTAGAAATAATTTTAAGAAGGCATCTACCTACTTTTACAATCCCTCAGTCTTTAATTATGACCTGTTCACACCCACTATCACAAGACACAGCAATCTTTTAACTTCTAGTAAACACTAATCTTTAAATACTTAACGTTTATCTTTTGCCTCATTTTAAGCTAAAATTGGTTTCTCTGTGTAGAGAAGAAGAAATATTTTCTCTGTCACTGCACTGTATCTAAATTTGTATATTTTCTCTAGTACAAACAGTACAGTTTAATCATGTATTTTTTTACCAATTTTCTGTTATTTTTCCTCTTTGTTGTTTAAAATGTTAAATTTGTTTTGAATGACAGGAAAATTAATTCTGGGCTTGATGTAAATGTGTATTTCTCCCTAGAGCTTAGTTTCTTGCCAAGAAATCTTGGCTTTTGTGGGGGATTTTTTAAGATTATTACAATATACACTATTGGGTCTTGCTGAGTAAACCTTACTGTTCAGGTTTTATGCTGCCCATTTTGTGTAATGGGATTGATCTTTTCCAGAGAAACATCAGCTTCATAATCCAAGATACCCGACAATGCTGGAGACATTTTCTCCAAGGTCTTAGATAGTTCACCTTCTTCTTCCTTTTTGAGAGGTTCTTCTTCTGGACAGATAATTGCATGTGGAATCAGATAAACCAGATTAGACTCTTTGGGGCTGGACCCTTTGGGCTCATGTTGGCTCGAAAAAACAACTGCTCCGTTATTGTTAATACTAACAGTCTCTATAGCATTGCCGGACAGAGGGCAGAGCCTGTAGCATCCCAGCAGGGTCGAAAATGCCTTGCGGAAATCAGCATTGAAGGCATAAATGATGGGGTTGAGGGAAGAATTAGCCCATCCAAACCAAACAAAAACATCAAAGGTGGTGGAATTAATGCAGAAGGCTTCTGCTCCCTTGGATGGTTCAGTAGGCTCACAGAAGGGAATCATGCAGTTCAATACAAAAAATGGCAACCAGCAACACACAAACACCCCCATGATCACTGACAAAGTCTTTAAAACCTTTGTTTCCCTCTTGAAGGACATTTTGAAGTTGCTCTCTGGTTGATGGCAGTCCATACTGCTTCTGTTGCCACTTGTGGTATGGCAGTTCTTGGCATGCACTGCTGCTCTCTCCAAAGCTGAGATGCGTCGTATTTGCTTCTGAGCAATCCGGTATATCCTTGTGTAAGTTACTATCATGATGGCCACAGGTATATAGAAGCTAATTAGAGAAGAGGAGATGGCATACATCCTGTTTAGGCTAGAATCACAGTTGTCCATGCCCTCATCTTCTAAGCTGGAATTCAGGTCCAAAACACTTGTGGTTGTAGCCTTGTGCCAGTTCAGCTGCACAGGGATGAAGGAAATCAACACGGACAAAGTCCATGCCACGCTGATCAGGATGAAAGCTGCCTTGGGAGTCATTTTCCTCTCATACCTAAATGGGCTGGAGATGGCCCAGTATCTGTCCACACTAATGACGCAGAGATTTAAGATGGAGGCTGTTGAGCACATAATATCAAAGGCCACCCAGATGTTGCAAAATGAACCAAAAGGCCAGAAACCAGCAATCTCAGCCACAGCTTTCCAAGGCATGACCAAAACTGCCACTAAGAGATCTGACACAGCCAAGGAGATGACAAAGAAGTTGGTCACCTTGGACCTGAGGTGGCGAAACCTAATGACAGCTGCACACACCAGTGTGTTTCCCAGCAATGTGGAGAGGATCAGTAGTGAGAGGAAGCAGCCTGTGAGGATTCGAAAGGAAGAGTCCCTTTCCACCAGCAACCCTTCCCCGTCCATAGTGGTGTTGTTCCAAGTCATAGTTTCTCCTGAGGGAAAATTATACCATGATTTTCGTGGCGACAACAGCTCCTTTCCTTGCAGAGATCAGAGATTATCAGACGTCCATTAATTACTCATCAACAAACAGACCAAAGGTCCTTTCTGCAGTCCCTTCACCCCCAGACGGACTGCACTCACTTTGAGTCACCCTGAACAACACCGAAAGCTCTGTGAGCAGGAATTCAAACTGCACAAATACAGTTCACCCTACAAACAGGTTTTTTCAAGCAATCCCTTCAGAAACACACTGCACCACCCCAGCATGAAGCAGTCTACTTCAGACAGCTCACCTGCAAATGTTCTGCTGCTGTCCTCTGCAAATACACCCCCCACACACAGAAGCAATCACTTTTCCACGTTTGCATATATTCCCATGAAAATAGGCTATTGATTGAGTGTTTCCAGTGTCCACTGCACTAGCCCTTCATATTTACTGGAGCGTATTACATGAGGTGCTTTTTCTCTAGCTTCCTAAATGTCTCACTGATGAAACACTCCATCCTTCCTCCCAGTACACTCCTGTGACAAAATGCATCAGTTCTCTGTTTCTGGGCAGCTCAGAAAGCAAATCTTCACTTTGTTTCAAACTGTTTTATACTTCCGAGGCAAAGAAAATAAACATACGGGAGGTGTGTTTTAAAGGTTTTCAGTAAGCAGTAGCTCAGGTTATTTAGTTTTATTTAAATGAGAAATGCTGGCTCCTACCTTTCACCTCTGACTCTGTTTGCTCTGGGGTGCAGGGCTGTCTCTCCTCCTCTTTCAGTTTTGGAATTGCATAGCAAATCTTATACACAAAACTAACACAGAAGCACTGCATTGCATCAGGTGCATGTGGGGGGTGAGGGGGTGGTGTCCCTGAAAGTGCAGATTGCCAGTGGAGAAGTAAAACCAGGAGCCAGCAGACCTGAACCATGAGGAGTTAGTTTTCAGGACAGCAGCAGGTCTGTGCTGTTGGAACATGCGTGACGGACCCCACTGGTGTGTGTCCAGTCGCCTCCATCCCTCGGCGTCTGCCCATCACTCTGCAAACTCTGTTGTCCAGATCAGTCCTAGTCGCACTTTGTACATCCCGTCGAAGCGGCAAGTCGGGGCAAATCATTCCAGGCAAAAGGCACGGTATTCCCAACACTGGCCAGGGCCGAGTACCAGTTCTTCCCTCTGTCGTTCAGTGGAAGGAGAAGCAAGAGCGAGAGGAGAAGCGGAGTGAGCTCCTCTCTGCCACGGCGCGGGCTGCGGGCTCCTCTTCCAGCGGGAACTATTCGCTTTAACACTGCGCTGCCCGGTTATAGCTCTCCACGACTGTCCCGGAATAATCCCATCTCCTGCTCTGCGGGGCTGCGCTCTGAGGATCGGGTCCGATTTTTACCATGCTTTTTCCGTCTCAGCAAGGCGCAGGCTGGGGCAGCTCCTCACGCTCTCCCGCAGCCCGCCCCGGGCCGCGCATCCCCGGTGCCGGGGGAGCCCGACGGCAAAGGCTTCCTCCTGCCCGGGGCAGGGCTCGGCAGCATCGCCCCTCCAGGAAAGGTCTGTCCGCCCGGCGTGTCCTTCCTAAGGGATTAAGAAAGGGAAAGACAGACATGGAGGCGCGCAGCGGGCAAAAAGCAACGCCCCTTCGCCTCCTCTAACATCTTCATTCGGGCGCAGCTTCTTTTAGGCAGCCTCTCCCCGGTTTTCTGCCTTTCGGGTGAAAAACGTCCCGACCGGCCAGGCAGCCTGGGCGAGAGCCGCAGCCGGGCTTCCGGAACGGCTCTTCTGGAGTTTAAGGCAAACGGGATTACTTTTTCCCGTCCCGAAGTCCGGGACTCCCGCGGCGCTGCCGATGCCTGGGCGCTGCGGGCCTGATGAGCTCAGTCAGTTGATGCGGAAAGTAAGTACCAGCACCTAACTTCGGGCTGGGCGATGCTCAGGAGGCGGGACGCGGCTTCCCTGACGCCCCTGGGAGCAGCGCTACCCCGGGGCACCCTCAGGAAGAAGGGGGGGGGGGGGGGGGTAGGACCCGTGCCGTAGCGGCGGGGAAAGGGCTGCGAGCGCGGCCGTACTCACGGGCGCGGCGGGGCGGGGAGGGCCGGGCTGGCGGCGGGATGCAGCCAAGGCACCGCGCTGCTCCGCGCCGCCCCTCCACCGCCTTGGCGCAGCCCCGCGCAGCCCCCGCGCCCCCGCCGCTCCCGGCGCAGCCGCGGCCACCGGGCTCCCTCTCCTGGGCGGCCGCGGCCCCGCGCCCCGCCGCGCTAACAGAGCCTGGGCTGGTGACAGCGACGAAGGGCATCGCTGTCCGGGCGTGCAGGCAGGGAAGGAACGGGGAAACAGACCGGGGACCAGCGTCCCGACTTGTTCCACATCAGGCAAGGGGACAGCGGGTACCCCCTGACGGCAACGCGGGGTTTGGGGCAGCTGGCTCTATGTCTGCAGAGAAAACGGTTCAATAAACCACCTTCCTTGCGAGCAAAAACCTGCCGCACTTTTTCCACCCGTGACTTCTCCTTTGCAAAAAGCCTGCCGATTCGGTATTAAGCACCAAAACCAGGAAGCTTAAGCCTCAAATCCCTTCGCTTCCCAAAAGGGTTTTCTCTTTCTTACTTCAGCCACAACAGGCAAGGACAGGTGAACATGCTGATTTGTAAGTTGCTACACTTGCATTGGCATTTTTCTCAAAAAAAAATTGGGAAAATGAAGATAAAAGACATCATAGGGAGATTAAAAGCCTCCTAGAAGAGCAACTAGCATGTCAAGATTAATTTCATGGCGTTTGGCATTACTGAAGTTGCTTTTGTGCCATCTGTATTTTTTCAAAGTATCACTTAAAGCAGACACAGAGCTAAGCTAACCCTGGCTAGCTAACTCTTATTCTCCTTTCCCCCCTCTCATTCTCTTTTTTCTTCTTTTTAACTTCTTCTCAGCAAGTTCTCATTCCCCCCTTCTTATCATCCTGTTCTTTAACCATCATTCATCCCCAGAGGAGGAGGAAAATAAACAAGGAAATGATTCCTGAACTGTTTTGTAATAGAGGTATCTAAAGAAACTCCCTGTGAGTTTTCTTTTTCTAATTTCAAGATTCCTTTCTTTCTGTTCTTCTTCAAGCACAACGCAGGGAAGGCTTAGTGAGTGATACTTATTTTATGAAAATATAGCATGCTCCTGGTTTTCGGTAAAAACCTGAGGCTAAGGGGAAACATCAGGGTAAGAAGTCACTGAGCATATTCTATTTGTGAGAACTTCCAGAGGCTCCCCCAAAATCCCTTTCAACCACAGCCATCCTGGATTATTCCAGTAGAAATCACAGCTCCAGAGTACACAAACAGCACAGTCTTTGAGGCATACTGGAGAGAAACACCGAGGTACACATTGCAAAGAAGAGAGCAGTCTGCTCTAAATCGTCTGCTTATCGTCTCATCAAGCAAACTCTTCTTTTCAGCTCATTTTTGCTGAGGAGTGGCCTTTCGTGGGGAAGAGGCTGAATTCAGCATTGGAAGACCTTAATGATGTTCATGTAAATGAGGGTTTAAAACTCTGATTTGAACCTGACATAAGAAAAAAGCCTTTTAGCCTCCTACTCACAGCAGCCTGTGAGAGTCACGGTCCTTATCAGTTTGGCAATTCCAGTACCTGGTTCAGAAGTCAGCGCCTCTGTTCTGTCTCATCTCTAAGTCTTCATGGCCAGCTCAGGGCTACCCATGAGGTCCAGCTCCACCAAGGCCGTTTGAGTGCAGCAAAGCCCCTCAAGAGCTGTACAGGTTTCAGACACCAGTGTTTCATGCAGGGCACCCTGCTGTTCTCATTTGTCACTTCAGCTCATTTGTAGGCTTTTAAAACTTTCATGACTTAATAGTCATACCCAGGTGAGGAACAAAAGTGAAAGTCATTAAGGTGCTGTGATGATTTAGGTAAATTTAGTGGTGGGATGAGGCAGCTGATTGCCACGGCTCTGGGAGCCAGGTATACAAAGCACAGGGTGAATTTTCCTTTAGCTGCTCTCAGGCTAACCTGCTTCTAGCCAGCACAAGGGTCAGCTCTTGTCTAGGTTGGGACTTGCCTAAAACTGCCTGCAACAGGACAACGGTGCAAGTGTTTCTTGGAGATTCAGAAACACAAAACAGAGTTTGTTTAGTTCTCCCTGGGTACCCACATAAAACAGCTGTTTAACTTTATTTAATGCTTTTCAACCAGTGCTGACTGATGCTGGAATCAAAGCAATGCCCAGAAAATGAAAGCATTTGTGCGTTTGTGCCCTGTAAGGCACCTGCTGCTCCCAGGAGACTCTGAATGGAAAAAGTCCTATTTGGCCTCTAGGAAGGTTAAAAAATATAAATACTCAGTAGCACCTTGATCCAAATGATCCTCATCCAAACAGTAATTAGCTACTGGAAGACAAAGTCAGAGTTGAACAAAATCCAAATCTTGCATTCAGAGATAAACATGCATTAATCTACAAAACAGCACACATATTAGAGCTGGAGAAAGGCAGCTTAATTTACACAATAATATTACGGTATGTGGATACAAATTGTACTCACATCACTCTCAGGATGACTTTTTGAGTCTGCATGCATGGGATTTATTAAACATGAAATCAGCTGAGGCATGTTAGCAGAAATAATGTCTAAAAGAGCTGTCAGGTTTCTAAATAACTGGTTATAATAAGCCAAGATAAGTTTAGCCTCAGTTTCACCCTCTCAGAATAATCAGCAGTTCCTGGAAATTGAACACCTATGAACTCTCTTAAAGATCAGTAAAGCACACTGGTTAAATTGATATTACCATGCTGGGCATTCCACGGGGAAAATGGCAGTAGTGAGTAAAAAAGCACAGAGCAAACAGTAGCAGCAGATAAAACTATTACTTTACTGCTAAAATAAAACCATCAACAAGGATCTCAAGCTCATTCTTGAACAATAAAGATACACCAGTGAGGAGAAAGGATCAGTGAGGTAAATGATTTCTAGTCCCCAAATACTGACAGAAGGCATTCAATACATTCAGTATTGAATGTGAGT